ATATAGGAAAATATAAATTAAAATTTCATTGTTTTAGCTGTGGGTACTGGACAGTGTCATAATTATTAATTTATAAATTTATTATTTCAGAAAAGTGCGTAAGTGTACCTACATTTAGGTACCTACCTACTTCGTACTTGCATTGTTTTTATGAATTATTAGTTAGTAATTAGGTACACAATGTTTACAATTTTATGCGTGTGACTCCGAATATTACACCCATATTACGTGTACGGTGTACGCACAAGCGAGTGTATTAACCTAGGTAGGTACAAGACAAATTAAACCATTATAGTTTATGTACCTATTGTATTTTTGTAGAACAGACAATAAAAACTCAAAATAGTTTGATAAATATTATGAAAAAAAATCTACATCAGCTGTCGTATTTTTATTGTTTTCTGAAACTAATTTGTAATTCACACAACCTGAAGTAATGCCATTGGTAGGTAGGTATAAATGTCTAATGGTACAATAAATTGCAATGTGGAGTCTTAATAGATGTCTAATTCCAATAATTAAGGAATAGTGATAAACTGATCACATATTCTACCTTTACAAATGATTGAAAATAAAATCACCTAGCAGATCACACATAAAATAATACATACAGCTCCAATGGATATATAGTTACATGGCGTGCGGTTAAGATAAATAATATGCGATTGTTTATTGTTGATCAGTAGGATATGCATATAGGTAGGTATTTTGATTTTGTGACTACAATGTACTGCAATGATTTACGTTAATTTTCAGGTTAAAATTTTGTGTTTTAAATTTTTATATTTTGTATTTGTTGGTAGGTTTATTGGTAGGTATATAGGTACACGAATAAAATAATGATCAATACCTACCTAATTAATAATATAGGCTTTATGTCATAACACACCATCATATTCATATCTTTAAACAAAAATCAGACACCCTATAAAATTTTAAAATTAATTGGAAAGCATTGTACTGTGAACAGTTTAAATTTTATTAAAAAGACTTCATTAAAAAAAAAAAACAAACAACAACATTGTTTTATTATTTACCATTCAACCGTTGTGACGAAATAAAATAAAAAACTATTTAAAAAGTAAACAATATATTATGGGACCAAAAATGTAAACGAAAATCGAGTGAAAAGCACCAATGACCCAGTTTTAATCATATCCGACCTTGAAGAATTGAAACCCTGTTTAATCAATATAATGCGAGGTGGTTGATGGTTAGGTGTGGTGGTGAACTGATGCTCGTTTCGACCGAAATCGTTTGCTCTCGGCTTGACCCACTTATCTCACCATTTCACTTATCGGCGCTACTGTGCCATTTTTCCGAATGCAGTTCAACGAAAAAAAAACACCCCAAGTCAATAAGTAACACAAACACATGATTAGAATAATTATCCGAACATCGATGAAGTCGATCTGCAGCTGCATATTACCTATAATCTACTCAGTGACGAGGTACCCACTGAGTAGATAACTGTAATCGTAATGAGTCAAAACAATGATGTATTACAATTTAATTCAATCATAAGTTATACTGCATACGAAAAACTAATAACTATTGTGAACGGAGGCGGTGTGTCGGCCTCCATTTTAAAGAATACCTATTTTATTATTAATTTAGATTTTAGATATATAAAAAGTACTGTAATATTGGTAGATACTTTATTTTTGTAACAGCAGTACCTAAGGTATGTTGAAATAATTTTTACCAAATACATTTCATATAATGTAATATTATATTATACATTATTATTAATAGCAATAATATTATAATAAGTTATATAAGTCCAATATCACATTTTCACATAGGTACGTATAGAATGGTGTGAACAGTGAAATGTGAATAGGTTCGTTAGTATAAAATATGTTGAAAATTATATAATGTCTAGAAAATACTAATATAATTAATATGAAGTATATTATATTTGATGAACATTTCAAATTTTCAAATTCCTTCAGTTTATTGGTTTTTTAATTACCTACAACTAAAAAACAAAAGCCAATTTGTCCAAAACTCGTGTTGCTCAATGCTCATATTATACAAATCCCGGTTTCCCATAACATATGCTTCCGTGTTTTTTTTTGCTGATCCTTTTGAAAAGTACTTTTGCAATTTAGTACCAACTATCCAACTACAGCTTTTATTATTTTGAAATATTCCAGACTCCAACAGTCCAACCATAATGTTGAAGATTGATGCATTTTTACTGCTCAAAAAGCGGTAATGACAGACATAATAACAACATCATGAATTTTTAACCAAATTGTTATCTGGATTCTGGAACATTTTGAAAAGTTTATTTTACACAAACCGCGATTCGAACGAGCAATCCCACAATTCAAATAAATTAATAAGCCATTAATGAACGCAAATAGTTCAGGGGCCGGGGCTCAAAATTATAAGCCTTTTTTAAACCTGAAATCGAAAAAAAAAATCAAAAACGAAATGGGAAAAAATTGGAAACCAGTTTACAAAAACTAAACGGAAAACAAAATTTTTTCAATCGATTTCAAGCCCTGGTGTAATTAGTGTCATTGTAGAAAATGGGGGGACTTGGTCTCCCCCTAAAGTCCGTCATGCCACCCCCTTGTTTAGTTTTGTAGGATCAAAGCCCCCACTCATATTGTTGTTAATAATGTTAGCCCCCTGAAATTTTAATGGATTTCCGCCTGAGCAGAGCAGTGCTTTAACCTAAATTACCCCACACCCCCCATCACACTGATACACACAAGTTTTTTTAGTTATAAATTATACAATTTCATTATTTTTTTTTTTTAATAAAAACATTTTATTTATATCTACATCAAATCGATTCTTCATGTTTTTTTTTAGTGAATTCGTCAATTATAGTATGATCATGACATTTGGTACAAACGGATTATTTTCGAAAATTTATATTTGTAATTCCATTTGAGGAGTGTCCTGCTATAGCTGGAAACTTCATAATTTCAAATTCACCATTTTTTCTGTAAATTGTTTAACGAATGATTTTTTTGAAAATGTATAATATATTCATCTAGACTTTCTCAATCGAAATTCTAAGTAGTGGTATCTAAGCTATTGCTTATAGCGGCTTTAGGTATCTGAATTATCAAACTTATGTACCTAGGTAGGTACTGAGGATAAAAGTCCTTATAATATTAGTTTTACATAAAATATAATATAGCCAATATAGGACATAGGTCATAGGTAGGTATTTAGTGTAGACTCTAGACCGTCAAGTATACAGTCAAATTAGGTTCTAGCTTTAAACAAAATAAGTGGAAACTAGAAATATTTTTATAAGAAAGACTTACTCATAAGCAATTAATCTAAAATTAACATTAGTACATAGTGGCGGTCTAGGAATTTTTTATGATGGCTGTTATATAGATTATAAAGCTCCTTAGGTACTGTTACATACAGTGAAACTTCTATTTAACAATATTTTCAATTTAACAAAATATTTTTGTAAACCAAATAAGAAGTACCTAAATTATTTTACATTAAAACTCGCTTAAGACGCTCTTTAAGGGACCAGAGCGTTTTAAGCGGGAAAGTGTCTTATGCGGGAATGAAATAGGGATATAGATGATATAGGGACCGACAGAAAATAGCGTCTTAGGCAGGAAAGCGTCTTGAGCGAGTTTTACTGTAATTATATTTAACTAATTTCTCTATAATACTAATTTGTTTTGTTGAACATAACACTTAGTAATGCGGAAGTTTCACTGTATAAACTTTATTGTATAATTATAATGTGACAACTGACAAACCTATAATCACTAAAAAGTTAAGGTCTTTGTAAATATCTAACGTAAAAAATATATAAGTATTTAAAATTGTAATTTAGCTTAACTTAATCTAGATTAGCTTAATATGTATTATATACATTTATTTAACAAACTTTAATTGTAGGTATCTACATTTTTTTTTTTTTAAGAAGAATTATTTGAACTGTTTAGAAACAATTTCCCCAATGAGGCACCACCTCAATGGTGAATTGGGCCGAACAAACTTTATGTTTATTTTTTTTGTATTTAACATAATGAATTTATGCATATTATTTTTTGGCCAATAAACTAACTCATCTTATCTTTATTGATAAGGTATTGGTGGGGTGTGGCATATAATAATCTTTGATTTTTATTTTATTTTACATGACATTATGTTGGCAATACATTTAAAATCATTTAGAAAAACTATTAGATTCAATTCTTTGACAATTGGCCAGTAGTTTGGATACTGGTGACGGTTGCATTAATAATCTAATTTATGGATTACAACTAACCCTTAGTCTAATTATGGATTGACTGCCCAGACAACATAAAAGATACAATTAATTGAGATTAATACTCACTAGGTGTCTAGGTCTCGTGGACTTCTTTTAATAGTATGTAATTTGCCCGAAGCTAATTAATAATATCAATACATCAATATTGTATTGAAATATTAACTATAATTAATATTATAATATAGTTGAAAATAAAATAAAATTTAGTTAAAAAATCAACATTTCTATTTTTTTTTTTAATTAAAAAAATAATTTAGCAATTTAAACAGTACAATTAATGATTACAAAATAACTTATTGTCATAACATAAATAATAATCTTTTTACTATTAAAAACATAATTTTCACAAATATTTATTATATAATTTTTTTTTAATATTATCACCATAACATTATTTTATAATACCAATAACTCAGAAAACTGTGCTTTAAGTGAGTGCATCATGCAACATACTAGTAAGTTGTACTCATAATTCTAACATAATAATATGGAGTAAATAAATTGGATAGGTAAAAGGTAATATTTTAGTGATCATTAAAATCAAAAAAACACATTTTTTTTAAAAATAATTAATTTTAATGAGTTTTTGGATAATAATTTTATATATCGACAATTTGACAAATAATGTTTGCTGATTTTCAATAAAAATAAATTATATAATATAAACAATTAATTTTCAATTTCTAAAGAAACTTTGTTTTAAAATTTATATCCATATTAGCTTTACTTATCACAAAAAGTAAGGGGTTGCAGCCTTATCTGGAATAACTCGTTGTTCGTCAGGAACGGCATTAAACAATATTGGTTTGCGATCATGAACAGTAGAAAATTCCATTATTGATGCAACGTTACCACATCGATAACAGTAGTTAGGTGCTGACCAAACAGTTACAAGTTTATCATTAAACATGTATTTATACCCTGCAAAATAATTTCATTAAATATATTAAAATAAATATATTTAAATAAGTCAATACAGTAGTGATAAAAATATTATAATGGTAGTCAAACTCGTATTAAAGTATTTAACACATTCTTAATACTCTAATGTTTATGAGAAAATAATAATTTTATTAAGGTAAATTAAGTTCTAATATATTATTTATGGAAATACAATTAACCATTGTTCTAAATTTAATAATAATTTAAAATTGGAGCTTTAAGAAAATATAAATTAGTGCTTATTAGCATTGATTATTTCAATTACCAGCTTACTAGTATACAATTATAGTTTATACGGTAATCATAAGAGTAGTTAGGGTAGGCAACTGAATTCTCTGAGAATATTTTTTTTAGTTGTACATAATTGTAATATGTACAAAAGATATTAGGTTTTAATTAGAAAAATAAAAGTTATTTATAATAGGGAACGGATTTTTATGCAAATACATTTTCGTGTTGGAATACATTTTTTGAAATTTGATGAGACTTGTCTCTAATTTAGATCATTCTTATTAAAACAACGCTAATTATATTTTATATTTTGCATATTTCAACGTTTTTACCTGGTTTTGCATATTTAATACATATTTTAAATTTTATAGTGCATACTTTTCTTTCATCTTATATTTTAACATTCACAGCCACATAAATTTACCTTTCATCAAATTGCTTATGAAAGTGGGTAATAATTTACTTATTATTTAATTTAATTTAATTAAATAATAATATAGACTACAATATTTATAACTATACAATTACGACTGGTTGTCGAAGAAAAAATGTTAAGATAAGACAACTTTTAATCACTCAGTGTGCAATAAGGTAAAATATGAATTACATTTTTTTTTCACTTTTTATTAAAACGAATTAAGATTTAAGAATGTTATTAGTAAAGAACAAAATACCATATTTAATATTGTTTTTTTTTACATAATTTTAAATAAAATGTCTTCGATTAAATGTTAAGTACATATTATTTTGTAGCATATAATTTTATTTTGAGGATTTTTTGTGAGTATAAATTTGTTCCCTACTTATAAGATACATTACTCAATAATATACTAAATTAATAGTAAACATTCTATTTGGAAAAAAATATAGCAGATACAAGTTTTAATACATATATCTTATTATATCCTTGGTATGGAAATGGAGTTGTAGTGACTATACTGTATTCAAAATAAGATTGAACCGCTTCGCGCATGCAGACTAAGCCGCCGAACAGTGCCCGACCCCCCGTGTGATGGCTATGGGTTCTGTGATTGGCTAACAGTCATCGCCAGAAGTTATCGGTTGTCGGGCGTCCGTGCTAACGCTCTCACCGGTGTCCGGATTGTAATGGGGATGCGGTTCAGCTGTGGTTCAATCTTATTCTGAATAGAATATAATATTTACTTGAAGTACCTCATAAATCATAATAGAGTATATTATTTGTAAATAATATGAAATATTATTTTATTTTATGTGACATTGCAGTGAATATCTTATATGATTCATAAGTGTGTTTGATAATAAGGGTGGTTAAACTATGTTAACCTCAAGAATAGTTGTTATAGAAGAACATAAGAATAAATTTAAATATATTGTAATACTTATATACTATTATTTATGACTACTTTAACGGTAATGTCAGTGTACACAACACACAAATGATGACAATTTAATATTGTACACATTGTAGTAATATAGTGTAATAAACAAAAAACAAAGGTTCAACTTAACAGAAGGTTTATTATGATTGTAGTGATTAGGCAAGAGAAGAAATCCATTTATATCAAATATTAATAATTATCTTCACTATGAATAAAATATGATATATAATATTATATTTACAAAAATGTCATACCTTCATTAACCAATTGATGTGCTCTACAAATAAGCTCCAATTGATTTTTTTCCATAAATTCTTCAGTGACTCTAGACCCAAATAACCAGCCTGCTCCACGTGGGCTTATTGTCCATTTTTCAATGTCTTCTGGATCAGACCATACCAAGTCGCAGAATGCTCCTAAAAAAACCATCAAATTAATAAAAAATTATAAAAATTAAATTACAACTTTAAAATAAATCTTCAATTACATATCATTTTTGGATTACCTTTGTATGGAATTTCTTGATTGCGTTCTATTACTCTGATTTGATCTAATGTTGAAATATCAGGAGATAAACCACCATGTACACAAAATACTTCTTCGTCTATTAACTATCAAAATCATAAAAGTTCAAAATATTTAAAACTGCAATAGGTTTAATTATTTGATAAAAATAAATCATACCGCTGCAACAGACAATAAATCAAAAACTTTACAACATTCTTTCCATACATTTGCATTTCCATACTTGTTCATACATTCATCTGAAAATTAAGACAATATTTCTCATTATAAACATTAATAAATTTGACTATTTTAAAGTAAGATTTAAAATTTAAAATGTATTTTATTTATTTTACAAGCTGTACGTATGCATTACCTACATAATATGTGAGCTCAAGCTCAAACAAGAAACCAAGTCCCTAAGGAGGTATTATGTTTTACAAATATGTACATTTAAGTATTGAAATTTAAAGAATTTCCAGTTCATCTGAAGCCAAAATGCAAATTCCTAAAGTAAATTGTGGCTGGGTCTTGAAAAACTGCACAAAATTATGTAAAAATAATTTCGACTAGGGTGTGCTTCTAAGCCAACTATACTTTATTTATGGTTACTTCACGCATACAACTGGAGCCGAAGACTTGTGATTTGGGGAGTTGTTCAGGGTTTTGTGCGCAACCACATTCTCTCGCCAAATTCTTGAATAATAATATACAATTTTTTGGAAAACAATAGTACCTACAACCTACATCTAATTAATACGTAAATAAATACCATATGCAACCTATTAATACAATTAAAACATTACCTCGATATGTTAAAAATTGTATTCATTTATAGATTTTAAATTCAATGTATATATATTTTTTTAAAGTAAACAATTTTATTGATTATATTTAAAACAGTTATAACATAATAAATGAGCACTAATGAGCAAGTAATTATTTTAAACTTATTTGTTTCATGTTTATATAATTATAATATAATATTAAATTATTGTATTATTACAAAACTAACCGAAGGATGCATACAAACTATATATTTTAACATAATGGCAACTTAACTATTTAGGCATAGATCGAATAGACTATATAAAGTGTAATTTTATTAAATGGATAACCAAAAATATGGATTTCATAGTATTGGAGCTATTATAAAATACAAAACAGTTAATCATCTAAATATATAAATAAGGAATTGCTTAACAAAAGCATGTGTATGACTATGATATTAACCAATACTCAAAATAAGTGCAGATATACATATTTTATATAAGCTTATAATAATACGTTGACATATATATTAAAAATAAAGATTTAATGATAGAATTATAAGTATTAATATCAATTTTTTTTGTAGTTTTGGTTTGTTATCTAAACGTATATACCTATTTCCAAAATTATAATTATAAATTTAAAGCATAGATAGGTTTATTTAATTCTGAATACCTACCATAAAATCCGTAGACTTGTGTGATTTGTCTTGATTCATGATTACCTCGAAGTAATGTGATGCGATGTGGCCATTTGGCTTTTAGGGTTAAAAGTCTAGTTAAAGATTCCAGACTGTAGTATCCACGGTCAACAAAATCACCCATGAACACATAATTGGTGTCGGGGACTTGGCCTCCGTTTCTAAACAATTCTTCTAAATCGTAAAACTTAAGAAAAGAACAGACATCGTCAACAATGAGATCTCAACACACGACGTATTGCAATATTTACTTGTCCATGGATGTCCCCACAAACTGTTACTGGGGTGCTGACCGGCTGGATGTTGGCTTCTTCAATCAACAAATCGCATACGATCTGACACAATTTCTAAACAAACACGACACATGAAATTAATACCGGTTAACAATTCGTATTATTGGAAACTTACCTTTAAATCGTTTTCTGGCAAATATTTGCACTGTTTGGCGATCTCGAACCAGTTTTCCCACTCGGGCATTTCAAGTTTTTAAAAAAAAAATTCCAATACCGCTAGATTACATTAGTTGTCACGAACCCAACTCAGGTATGTAGAACAAATTATTTCCCAAAAGGGGCCCCGGTCCCGGATCCGTTATTCAAAATGTTATAAAAAAAAAAATAAAACAAAATAATACAATAATAAAACAATATTTTCAATGACTTTTTATCATAATTACCCTTATCTTATTTTTTTTCAGCGCGTACAGTGTTGTCCAACATTTCGTAAGAAAATATTTAGTCGAGTGCGGGCTGCGCGAGTGTTTGACATCTAAAAGTGTTTGGTACTGAAAAGAGACCACGACGTCGCGATGGCAATTGTGGGTAAACCGCAAAAGCGTTCAAAGGTATGAACATTAGACATAGGGCAATAGAGTAAGGAGGTTAAGACGTGGTAGGCCGCGTCCACACTACCAAAAATGTACGTTGTGGGTACAATTTTCCGCACAAACGATCCGTTGGTCCATGGATTTTTTGAGCCGCAACAAATATTTGCGGCGTAAATTATTAAACAACGTAAATTCGCTACAATGCGGACGCCCCTGAAGGTGTCCGGGAAAGACCTGCATTGGGCTAGAGGTTGAGGTTTTAAACCGGCGTTGTTCGTAGGTATATTGCACAAAAACGAAGAACATTATTATAAATTATATTACCCATAGTACTATTGACGTTATGGGGCAAGTGTATCACTCGCGTGAATCGCGTATTTGATAGATGTTAACAAGTACTACCTAATATTACTTGGACCATATATCTTGGGCCTTGGATTAAATCTTGGGAATATCTTAGGTTATAATAATATAGCCATATAGGCCACAATCCCAGCGATGGGCGTACTTTATTGTACTCATTATAGACCTGCGAGGGCCGTAAATTTTCGGCCCTGTCTGGTCCATAAATTTTATCCTCAGGCCAGGCCCGGTCCAGTCCAAAAAATATTGTGAAAAAAAGCACTGGCCCTGTCCGAAAATAATACTAAGCTCGTAAAAAGCCCGTTCCGGTCCATCAGTTTTATCCTCAAGACCTCAAACCCGGGCCGGCCTGGTCCAAAAAATATTGTGAAAAAATTATATGCTATTATTATGGTATATAAATAGCTTTATTATACCCACCAATCAATATATTATTATATTCATTGTGATTGTATATACTATCTAGTATCAATCCATAGAGTATACTCTATATTATGTATCTATCTTTCCCAACGTCGATTTTATCATTATTATTTATTATTTTAAATTGTAATTATTAAATTATTTATTGTCGAAATCCTTAAAAAGCCTGGTCCAACCATTGATATTTATAATTCGAAGTCCAGCCCGGCCTGGCCCGAAAAATTGTACAAAAAAACCCAGGCCCGGCCCGGTATAAAATTCCGAGATTTAAAAAAGCCCGGTCCAACCCTTTATTTTATTTCAAAGTCCAATGTCCAATGTCACCATCTCGTGATGCAGGTCTTTAGTACTTATACCCATTGATGGTTAGATACTGGTTAGTGCACTATAATGTCCAATATCTTTAATAACCTAACCTAAGATAGTCAGATCTATTGATCCAGGTATATCTTAATTCGTATTATTGGATAAAATATTGAGTGCTTTTGCGATACATACCAGATCAAAATTTGTCAATATTCCAATTTTTTTTTTTTTTTTATTTCATTTATTACGTTTATAACGTTTCAACATAAAGATAACATGTTCATATGTTATTATAAGTTTGATAAATGGGTAACTATAGTGGTAATACTAATTACTAGGTACACTAGGTACAAACTATAAAGTAGGTACCTACCTATTAGTAGTAACTATAGTAGTATAAAGTATAAACACTATATATACCGATAGTACATTTAACTTACCTCAAAATAATTTTTAAAATTCGTTGACTTATAATTGCTTTTAAATTCATAATAAGAATGTACTAAGACGAGTCAAGCTAGACGAGTTCCCAATACTCTAGCTATAGTAGTTGACGTCAGCTCTGTTGTCAGATTACTCAGATTTCGTGTAAAAATTAAATTATATTTTGGAAATATTTTCTTTGAATAATGTTGAAATAGTAACTTACCTAATAATTATATTCGTTTTCAATCGTAATCAAGTTTTTCGAATAATATAGAAATCTATACATCTATATATATAAAAATGAATGTATGTCAGTGTGTGTGTGTGTGTCCATATTACCATGGCAACCATATCTGTATATATAAAACAGTAAGCTGATTGACTGCTATCAACGCACAGCTCAAACCATTGGACGGATCTGGCTGAAATTTGGCATACAAATAGCTATTATGATGTAGACGTGGGCTAAGAAAGGATTTGCCAAAATTTGCATTTTAAATAGGTGCTGAAACAGGGACATTGAGATTCACGATAGAAATTGGAAATTATTGTATTTTTATTTATTTATAGTTGCCATTGGTTACAGTCTACATTAGAAATTAGCATTTATTTATTGGTTGCCATTGGTTATTCGGGCAGATCAGGTACAAGCTTGCATCAAATCGAATTATTGAACATTGCCTACCAGGGTGGCTGAGTTGCACTTACCGCAGCAAGTTACACCCAAAAGGAGTTCAACAATCATAATTTTTTTAAGAGTTGCGATTTTTTACGAGCAACCAAATTTGTTATATTAATCCACAGTATTATATCAAAATAAACTTGGTATAACTTTGATACTTTAGAGTTAAATCATACACTTCCGTACAAACAGCACGGGGTCCGCGATCTACCGCAGGTAGATTGCCTACCTGATAATGTACTGCTGCGATTCAGAATTTTTATTCCGGGCAACGGAAAAGATAAGATAAATTTTGAACACCATACACCGAAAATTGAATAATGAATTGAACAAAGTTTGAGTCATATTGAGTCGATACATTAAATGTACATAAAAAAAATACATTAAATATATATATATATTATATATATTTAATACATTCAATTTTAACGAGCGACGAAGTGCACGGGATCAGCTAGTAATATATATAAATTAATGTATGTGTGTGTGTGTGTGTGTCTACATTACCACGGCAACCATTTATATAATATTTTTGAGATATCCGATGGAATTTTGTGTATATAAATGGTTGCCATGGTAATATGTATAAGTATTATTATTATTATACATATTACCAAGCCCGGATTAAGGGGGGTCCAGGGGGAGCCATGGCCCCCGGGCCTCAATAGTTAGAATTTATTTAGGGGCCTCAGATTTGTCCATTACTTTTTTGTTATAGGCTATAATCACACTGCATAAATCATCTAAAATAAAAATCGATGATTATTTAGCGAGGAAAAGATGATCTTGTAAATTATAATTTATGAATAAAGTGATACATTATTCATTATTTATTGCTATGTACAATGTACCTACCTAATACATATAAATACCTATTTATTATAATAGGTACCCACATAAGTTTTACATTATTTTATTTTTCGTACAGGGGCCTCATTTAAAACTTTGGCCCCTGGGCCTCAAAATTTCTTAATCCGGGCTTGTGTATAACATATTCTTCATACAGAGTTGGCATTTTTAATGCGTACAACGAAGTGCACGAGATCAGCTGTATTTATATATATATATATATAGATAGATTAGACCTTTGGGCAGCAGATAGGCTAATTTAAAAAGGGAGAGGACCAACCCCGGGAGGTGATCAAACAGGGATTTTGAGATTTCCGATGGAAATTTTTGTTTATAAATGGTTGCCATTTGCCATGGGTTTTAAAGCTATTATTATTATTTTAAACATATTATTCATATATAGAGTTGGCATTTTTAATGGGCAACAAAGTGCACGGAATCAGTTAGTAATAATATAATAATCATATTATTATTAAGTATGTATAGGTAGGTACCTACTACTATATTTTTCAAAGACGATGTTAAAATTTAAAAATCATTATTGTCTTTAGGTCATTGATCTATAATGTGGCAAATATCTTGGTATGATTATAATCTGACAGACTTTGAACTCTGCAGAGTTTTAGTTTGTGCACACATGGAAACATAATATAGATAAATATTACTATTTTAAGTTCAAAAATGTGTCTTTAACTTTATCCTTAATGTATATTGTTAAACACTGCTCATATTCGGGAATCGATTGGTGAAGGTTACTGACCTGAGGTATAAGTATCATCAATTGTATACAATGACCATTCAAATAACAAAATTATATTATGATCTATTTATAGGAAATTAGTATAGTTACTAGCTTATCACTCCACTCCGCTCATCTAAACTTTAAATACTTATAAGTTTTAACTCTTAAACTAATCGTCATTCGTCCTAAATTTGATTTTTTATGTATCAAAATAATTTTCTTATATAAAAAATTTCGTTTATTTTGTGAAAATTTACAATCTATACAATAAATTGTTAAATGAGTAAATGTGAATGAATGAATATAAAATGAGGCGGTGATAAAAATACAACGAATAGAAGTTTCATATTAGAAATTCCTAGAAATGGATCAAAACATTCTGCTTTGGAATGTGAAATTAAAGCTGCATGTAGTATTTTATCATTCAAAAAAGTAAAAAACTTCAAAAATGTTAGGGATACAAATTAAAAACTATTAATAATATAAACATATTTTTTTCGGTGCATCCGAATTGCATACCAAAAAAATTAATATAAATCGGAATGTCCAAATTGCATGTCGTTTCTCTCATATACAAGTCTATTAATTTCATTATTTTGAAATTCCGTCATCACTGAACTTATACTTTTTTCTTTTTCTAATATTTCCCGGCGTCTATTACTTAAATTTGAACTACACATTTTTGCATATATATCACATTGTACTTGCTTTAAGACATCAACTAATTGAACAATATTAGGACTTGGGGAGTAAAACATGCTTTTCAGCTTGGAATGGAATGATTCATAAACATTAGTTGTACGCATTGTAGAATTAGAAAATTCAGCCCAAGTAGATGGTGGAAATTAACTGTCAGCCAT